TTATTATTATTATTATTTATTTGCCTTAATAATAATAATGATAATTATTATTATTATTATTATTATTATAAGAATCAGAATCAGTTTTATTGCCAAGTGTGCTGCACACACAAAAGGAATTTGTTTTGGCTACAGAAGCTTCCAGTATACATAAAGTGACAACACAAAATAAATAATAATTTATTTACCGGTATGTATTATTAGTTTTTTTATATTTATTTATTTATTTATTTACCTGCATGTATTGTTATTATTATTATTTCACTAAATTATTGTTGTTGTTATTATTATTATTATTATTAATAATAATAAAACTGGTAACATTTATTTAGTAACTATATTTATGATGTTAGTTATAATTTAATATTATTAATAATGTTAATATTAGTATCATATGATATAAAAATAACATTTTTTTTCTTTATAAGTAAAACTACACTTTATTTATTATTTACCTGCCCAGAATTATTACTATTATTATTAATATTATTATTACTATTAATATTGAAACTTAAAAAAACCCACATGATTTAAAAACATTTATTTACTTCATTAATAAAACTAGGCTTTATTTATTTATCCATTTATTTTTTACCTGCCCAGCAATATTATTATTATTATTAATATTAAATCTATGACATATTGTTAGTAATTATATTTGTGTAATATTTATAATGATGGTTATTATTTTTATTAATATTGAAGTTTTTTTTAAACCCTCATGATGAAAATATAAACTTGCATAAAAATCTATATCGACAGCACTTTTAATTATAGATCATTTTAATTAATTAGTTTGTAACTAATTTTACCCAACACTGCTTATAATGTTAGATAAAATAACGATTTCTATTCTCGTCTATTCGCAATCATTTAAAAAAATCATTTAAAAAAAGCCTTTTATTTTATGGCATTATAAGGAATCATATTAAGCCTACAGTTTAGCAATTTTTTATTCTTTACATACAAGTTTTGCACAGAGAATGAAGCGTCAGCTCCGTCATTTCTGCTGTGTAATAAACATGTTATCAGTGTAGTCTCATCATTACAGACAAGAACTGCTTATGTTTGCTGAAGAGAAACTGCAGAAATGGTACATTTCAGGATGCTTTTTTGTTGAGGACTAGAAAAAGTGACCCTTGAAAATGTATGATATTAAACTAAATAAATTATGTGTGTAATAATTATTCAAACTTAAAAAATGAACGCTACTTTATCTGTTTAAGGATATATTGAAGTCTGCTTGTGTCATGTTTACGTGGTGAGATAATTACAATTTCAATATTTGGAATAGAGAAATAAATAAAAACTCCAGACAAACTATAATAGTTTCAAAAATAACAATAATATTTATAATAATTCATGTTAAAAATGTCAGATCATTTCTTTCCAGATGAGAACTCTGCTTGTAACCGTTGCAAATATTCACCTGCTGACCATCTACATATGTTTTGGACATGTCCACAGTTGGCCACCTTTTGGTCAGGTGTTTTTAATACATTTAATAAAGCCCTTAAAATCAATATACAACCTGATCCCTTGTTAGCCCTCTGTGGTGTATCTCTTGAACCTGATTCGACAGTCCGTGACAGCAAGGGTCTTGCCTTTACCACAATTCTAGCCAGACGTGCCATACTGTTAAAATGGAAACACACTTTAGGGCTGTGCAACTAATCGAAAATCCAGTTTCGATTTCGATTACGGCTTATCACGATTATGAAAAACCATTAATCGAGATAAACGATTATTCTATCATATACTGCCTCCTCTCCAGTTCCACGTGAAAGTGACTGAAAGATGTGCTGTAATGTAACTTTTGCAGCATGGGATGCGCATCATTCATATTTTTAAAAGCGCAAAAGAGCACGTGCTGTTGTGTGTTTGCGGGCTGTGCTTAGTCTCGGACAGGTAACGTTAGTGTGTGTGTGTGTGTGTGTGTGCGCGCGCGCGCCTAACCTTGGACAGCAGAGCACACGCATATCTAACGCGATCTTAATGCGAGCGCTTTAATGGTGAAATACATGCAGGGTGTTTAGTGATTATTCATATTAAACCTCATTTGTGTAATAAACAAACAAGTTGAGAATCAAAAGACACGTGAAAGAGAAACCATATCGGAGCCGCACTATTCTTAAAGTGACAGTGTGCGATATTCCTGCTGCTGTTTTTATTATTTTTCAAACAACAAAAGGACAGAATCCACTCACTGCTCTTGACTGGAGGATTTTGTAGTTAAAGTTTTTTCTTACAGTGAAGATGCTTAAAGCACAGTTTAAACATAACATATTTAATAACTCATTTCTAATAGCTGATTTCCTTTATCTTTGCTATGATGACAGCACATTATATTTTACTAGATGTTTTTCAAGATACTAGTATTCAGCTTAAAAGGAACATTGAAAGGCTTTATTAGAGTAAATAGGCAAGTCACAGTAGTTTCTTCTGCAGACAATCAAAATATATATTGCTTAAAGGGGCTGATAATATTGAGCTATTAAAATGGGTTTCAAAATATTTAAACCTGCTTTTATTCTAGCTGAAATAAAACAAATAAGCCTTTCTCCAGAAGAAAAAAATATTATAGGAAATACTGTAAAAAATTGCTTTGTTAAACATAATTTGGGAAATATTTGTATATAAAAATCAATTCACAGAAGGGCGAATAATTTTGACTTTAACTGATAATCGTTTTAAATAATCGTGATTACAATTATGACCAAAATAATCGTGATTATGATTTTCCCCATAATCAAGCAGCCCTAACACACTTCCCCCCCTACACATGACATGTGGATGCAGGACATTTTTCACTGTATCAGACTTGAAAAGCTGAGATGCTCTCTCTCTGGCTCACTAGACTCCTTTTATAAGACTTGGGATTCCTTTCTTGATTACATCAAAGGCCTGCTTATTACACCTGGTCCTGGCAACCTGTAACATTTACCATTTTATCAGAAGGTTTTTTTTTTAATTAATTTGTTTATTTATTTTTATTATTATTGTTTATTTTTTATTTAAATTCCTTATTTTATTTTTAATTATTCTTACTTTTTCCATCTGTATCCAGTTATTTCGATTCCATGTTCGTGTGTATTTAATTTTCTTAATTTGGTATTTATGTATTTACTGTTTTGTTGAGTTAATGAATGAGAGGTTATGGGATGTGATTAATAATGGACAATACATTACTGTATACCTATTGATATTTAATTTGTATTGTCATACAAAAGACCAATAAAAAAGATTAAAATAAAAATGTCAGATTAAATGACAGAAACACAATAAGTTTGCTCGAAGTTTGCTCGAATTTTACACTGCCATACTACTGAAAGCAGCAGCAGATAGTTCACCTCAGATCTTGAAAATAAAATGACTAGCGACCATTTAAAAATGAAAGTCTGAACTGTGATCCTAACAGCAGTAGTCACTATAGCAATGTTTCCAATGTTTGCAAATGCGCATAAAAAAACAGTTAATGGAAACGCCATGATGCGCATACATTTTGAAAATGCGCATAAAAAACTTACGCGCTTAAATGGGTAGGATAAACTTTGTATTCGATAAGAAAAGATGCGCATAAACTGCGATGGAAACACTTTTACCGCACAAACTCCAGCATGCGCATTAAAAAAGGTCATGTGATTTTGTTAAAAGAGATCATGTGATGCTTAAAATGTGTGTGAATGGACAAAACGTCAGGCTGAGCACATTATAAAACATCTGAAATGTTGTTTTGGTCATAATAAAACGCCTTACCATTTCAGTATTAATGTTATTATATTATTAATGACCTCCAGAATCAAGAGCGGCTGTGCTCCGCGTCTGACACCTTCAAACGCCACTGCGCGCTCACTGCTTGTCAGGATTGTCTTCTGAGGCGCATTCATTTAGAAAAGATTGACGCAGCTTCTCCTACTGCAGCAAATGCAGTTTTTACTGTTGATATTTGGCGGCAGTTAATCAGGAAGTGACGATTTTGTTCGCTTTGACTCGTTGGATGGAAACGATGCTTCATTCGCACAACTTTTATGCGATAATCCAGTTTTGCGCATAAAGTTTATTCGCATTTTCGGATGGAAACAGCTACTGAAAAAGAGCTTAATAGTGATTATTTAGTTTAAAAGTCTTTACCATTTCATTGGGAGTGCAGTAGCTGGTATTTAAATGTTTCTGTCGTGTTGCGTCGTGTTTGGTGAAGACCGATAAATCGCTTGTTGCCGAAGTCTTACGCTAATGTTGATCATGTGTCAGGGCTCAACAATAAGGACTGCCCGGTGGCCCAGGGCCAGTGTGAGAGACACTTGGGACAGTAGACCGGATCATTACTGGCCCGATTGGGACAGTGCTGCCTTGTCAGTCACTAACATTTAAATTGTCTGTGACTATTCGTCAATTGCGTGCATTTAAAGCTTGTGCTTTTGAGTCTTTAAATGCTACCTTCTCTGTAATGTCGTAAACAACATATTGCTTTCTGATTCGTCTTATATGATTTATTTAACCATGCTATTTTTTTGTTACCTGGTAACAACCAGTACAGCGTAGAAACAGCAACATGTCAGCAACATCAAATTATAAGGCTAAACGAAAATGTCTGTCTCTAGCATCTTGGAAGTAGACATTTACCTGGAAACAACATGATAAAATAAAAATTTAGTGATGTTATGCATAGTTTGCCGTCAGTTTGACAAGTCAGCCAGCTTTTGTTAAATAATTTCAAACTGCAAAAAAATACCTCCACATTTTCCATACTGCTGTTTTTGTTTGCATAACACTTATATTTACAATTGTTTTTTAAGTATTGAAATTCTAGATTTACAGACTTTATTTTTGACACATTATTTAAAATATGTGGCTAAAAAATAGCTATTAACTTACCTTTTTTTTTTTGGTGGGGCCAGTGAAAATTTTGGCAGGGCAAGTAAAAATCTAAACCACTTGCCCGATCGGACCAGTAGAAAAAATCCTTAGCGTTGAACCCTGTGTGTGTGTGTGTGTTTCAGGGTGTTGTGCTGCTAAATGGAGTCTGAGCAGTTGTTCAACAGAGGCTACGGCAGAAACAGCTACAACAGCATCACCAGCGCCAGCAGTGACGAAGAGCTCCTGGATGGAGCCGGAGTCATCATGGACTTCCACACCACTGAGGACGACAACCTGCTGGACGGAGACGCCTCTCCAGGTACAGCGCATCGCTTTTTTTAAACACCTTTGCTGCGTCCCAAATCACATACTTATTCTACTGTAACAGAAGAGTTTGCAAACTTTCGGACATGCTATTTCCTCGTTAATGCCACAGCTATATCACCCTGCAGCCCAAGAGCGGTTACTCACTGAAGCTAAGCAGGGCTGAGCCTGGTCAGTACCTGGATGGGAGACCACATGGGAAAACTAGGTTGCTGTTGGAAGTGGTGTTAGTGAGGCCAGCAGGGGGCGCTCAACCTGTGGTCTGTGTGTGTCCTAATGCCCCAGTATAGTGAAGGAGACACTACCGTCAGTGGGTGCCGTCTTTCAGATGGGACAATAAACTTACTATTAAGGGTGTAACTCCGGAGTCCTGCTCAATTTCCCTCTATCCCCTTAACCACCATATCCTCCCAATCATCCCCATCCATTTTATTTTTGAATACTATTTAGGACGGATAGTACATGAAATGGGAAGCAGTAAGTGTTTGGTTTCATTTAAAGCAGGTGCGTCCAAACTCTGTCCTGGAGGGCCGGTGTCCTGCAGAGTTTAGCTCCAACTTGCTTCAATACGCCTGCCAGGATGTTTCTAGTATACCTAGTACGACCTTGATTAACTAAACTCTCCAGGACACCGACCGGCCCTGGAGCACCGAGTTTGGGCACCCCTAATTAACAGGGTTAGAGAAAATCCTGGACAAACTACTGGCTTATTACCTGCATATTATTAAAGGGTAATGAAACCCCCCGTTTCAGCAGGATGCTTTCACACCTATAGTTTGGAAAAAGTCAGGAAAGTGGGTGTGTCTAGCTTTGTTTGGGTGGGAGTGTCGGGGGAGGAAAAATGCGCAGGGTTTGAATAAAAATGGGCAGGGTTTAAATAAAAATGGGCAGGGTTTGAATAAAAATGGGCAGGGTTTAAATAAAAATGGGCAGGGTTTGAATAAAAATGGGCAGGGTTTGAATAAAGATGGTCAGGGTTTGAATAAAAAAAGGGCAGGGTTTGAATATAAATGGGCAGGGTTTGAATAAAAAAGGGCGGGGTTTGAATAAAAATGGGCAGGGTTTGAATAAAAATGGGCAAGTTTAAATAAAAATGGGCAGGGTTTGAATAAAAATGGGCAGGGTTTAAATAAAAATGGGCAGGGTTTGAATAAAAATGGGCAGGGTTTGAATAAAAATGGGCAGGGTTTAAATAAAAATGGGAGTTGCCATTCGGTCACGAGCTTCTGACCGAGGAAAAACAAACACACTGGCAGGGGAGACAGTGTGTTTAACGACGGTGGAATGTTTGATGCCGCACGTCGTATAAGAGAAAAAAGCCTCTGAGAAAAGAGAAAAATTTCTCTGTAACTCAGATGCACTCGGTAGGTCAGAAAGCCGTGTGTGTGTAGACTATCCTGTCACAAAATACGGTGAAAATTCAACGACGGTCGGCAAAAGTTTGCTTACACTGTTCACGTGTTTACACGCAGAGAGCAGCATTTACAGCGGATCTTTTAATATTGTAATGATATTAACGTAATGTAAACTAAGTAACTTAGAAATCATTTTGATGTCGGCGCAATAGCCTCGTGGTTAGCGCGCCGACATATGGTGCAATAGCACGTCAGGGCGTCGCAAGTTCGAATCCCGGCTCGAGGACATTTCCCTACCCTACCCCCTCTCTCTAGCTGCGTCCCAAATTGCATACTTATGCACTATTCTACGCCATTTTGTAGTATAAATAGTGTAAGTAGTGCGTTCACACTGAAAACACTAAAAATAATAAGAGCACTTCAATTACCCGGATGATGCACTCATTTAGCTGCTAAAATGAAGTGTGTAAAGATGGACACTTCACGCACTCAACGACCGCAGGTTTGCTTACGTAGCGGAAGGGGCGGAGCTATCGGACGCACATGTTGGATAACTTTATTTATTTTGGATGGTGAAAGCAAAATTCTCCTACCAGAGTGATTATAGCGCCTCCCGATGGTGAATGCGGCAATACTCAGGGCAGGTTTTATTTGATACCTCAGTCATTTATTTCACTGATTTAGCGACCGTCAAACGTCATCAGGGAAACGGTTTGAATTTCCGCTTAGTAAAAAAACATTAGTGTGCCATTTGGGACGACACTACATACATATACTTTCCTGTTGAGTGTGTAAGTGCATAAGTACATAGTGCATGAGTGCATAGTGTATAGTGTGCCATTTGGGACGCAGCTTCACTCTCCCACTTCGCTTCCTGTCTCAACACTTTCCTATCAAATAAAGGCAAAAAGGCCAAAATTAAATCTTTAAAAAATAATAATAATAAAAAAATAATAATTTTGACTAAGGTCTGTCTTTAAACACTGAAAGAGTACAGCTGACCATACCAACTATAACTTTGCCATCTGAATGAACAAAGAAAGGGCACTGATCGCACACACTTACCAAATCTGTAGACAGGACAATCACCACATACTGGAGCTGCGTCTGTTTTTAAAGGAGACGAGCAGCAAATCCAGATCTCACCATTGATGAGAAATGCTCTCAAGTAAAAAAATGTTCCAAACAAACGCTTTTCTGTCGCGCGTTGCTATCACTGATCCACACGATTCCAGCAGCGCTCTCATAGAGAGAAAATGAAACAAAACCTTCACATTATGAAAGCAACACTGGCGACCTGTATCTCCAAACAATTCTTATTCTTTTCCCACAACTTTTGGCAACATGACGTGTGTCGTCTCTCTGCCGTCTGAACACTGTTTCAGGTACAGTCTAAGAAAGCTAGCATGCATATTAATGAAGTTGCAGCGCACACATAATGGCGCACGCTGATTGGTTTGAACCAAGCCATACTCATGAATGAATGCAACACACTCAGAGACATAATACAGGACGCCCTGGTACAGATGTCCAGTCCACACGCTGGAATACACGCTAAGATCTCATGGCCGTGACGCAGCTTCAAAAATTTCGTACAAATTTTCTCGAAATAACGCAAAAACAACCAATTTTCACTTTTTAGTAAGATATATGTGTCCTAAAGTGTTTTTAGCAGTGTGGGACACATATACGACTGTCAACAGCTCAAAACATGTGTTTAGGTGTTTCGTGACCCTTTAAGGGTGCTTTCACACCTACACTTTTGTTTCGGAACGTATCTCGTTTGCCCAGTTAGCGCGGTTCGTTTGGCATATGTGAACAGGGCAATCGCACTCTGTTCCGCGCCAAAGTAATCGCTCCGAGATCGCTTGAATGAGGTGGTCTCGGCTCGATTGAAACGAACCCTGGAGCGGTTCGATTGCAGTGAGAAAGCGATCCGATCCGAGCGCGGTTATATCACAGTGTTTTATGGATATGTAATAGGCATACGGCTATATGAAGAGAGAATTATGAGTAGGGCGGGAAGTTTCGCGAGTCTCCGGATGCCCGCAAACAAGTGATGATCTCCCGGTAATCTCGCGTCTCCCTCCCGGTCCTCAAATAGGCATCGTCGCGCACCCTTCTCACCCCTCCCCACCGCATCTCTCCTCAGACACGTCACGCGCGCACCCTGTCAATCACCACCAAACCACCACCTCTCCTGACAGCTTAGCGGGACGCTGCAAAATAAACCCTGACACTCTGACCAATGTAAGGAGAGTTTACTCACACGTGACTTGTTTTAGCTCTTTTGGTCCGTTTAGAAACTTTGCAGTGTAAAAGCGAACCGCTCCAAGAGCAACAATGTAACAATTGTAATCTCTGTTTCGGAACAACTGAATCGATTCACAGGTGTGAAAGCACCCTCAGATGCTAACTGTTTATGATCTTGTACTACCTCCCTAATCCTATCCAATAACTAAACACTAACTTAATAGCTATTAATAACCAGCAAATCAATAGTTTGAACTAAAAGTCTTAGTTAATTATTTATTAATAGCAAGAATTGTACCTTAAAATAAAGTGTGGATCTTTTAAGCTGAAAGTGACAGACATTGTCTAGAAACACACAAGACTTGCTGTATATATAGTAAATCTTATGAAAAGTCATACTAGGACCTTTTTAAAGTGTAATTCTGTTGCCTTTTAGTGAAGGCAAGGAGCACTAATAATTTTAACTTCAACAGTAATCGTTTTAAATCATCGTGACTATGATTTTTCCTGTAATCGAGCAGCCCTAGTTCTCCCAGGCTCATGTATGTGATTTGTAATGAATATTTCAGCATTTTATTAGTGCATTCTTGTGCTCATACAGTTGAAGTCAGAATTATTAGTCCCCCTGAATTATTTGCCCACCTGTTTATTTTTTTCCCCAATTTCTGTTTAATGGAGGGAAGATTGTTTCAGCACATTTCTAAGCATAATAGTTTTAATAACTCATCTCTAATAACTGATTTATTTTATCTTTGCCATGATGACAGTCAATAATATTTGACTAGTTATTTAAGACACTTCTATACAGCTTAAAGTGACATTTAAAGGCTTAACTAGGTTAATTAGGTGAACTACACAGGTTAGGGTAATTAGGCATTGTATAACGATGGTTATTGTATAATTTTTTTTGTTCTGTAGACTATCGGGGAAAAAATTAGCTTAAAGGGGCTAATAATTTTGTCCCAAAAATGGTTTTTAAAAAATTAATAACTGTATTTATTTTAGCCAAAGTAAAACAAATAAGACTTTTTCCAGAAGAAAAAATATTATCAGACACACTGTGAAAATGTCCTTGCTCTGTTAAAAATCATTTGGGAAATATTTAAAAAAGAAGAAAAAAATCAAAAGGGGGCTAATAATTCTGACTTCAACTGTAGTTGTTTTGGGTTCAGTTATTAGGAATGTTTTTTTTCTGTGCTGAAGTGTACGAGTGAAAGACTGAGTTGTGTTGTGAGTATATCTTCATTATTCATGACCCTCTCAGCGTCTGGCAGACCTTTGTTTCGCCGGATCACACACGACAAGAGTCTTTGTGGCAGTGAAACAGGGAAGTGTCGTCTTTCAGTGTCATTCATCAACCTGTGGTCGGTCAGACTCTCTCTGAAAG